TCTAATAGTACTATTATATAAACATAAAATAGTATGTATTATTTAATATTAGTTTATAAACAATAATATTCTAAATATATTGAATTATTATAATGATTTTAATTTTTTCAGCAAAAAAATTAATTGTTCTAAAAAAATTTCCTGAATTAATTAATTCTATTACTTTTTTATTACATAATTATTAATTTAATTTAATTATTAATATGTTATATTTCAGTATTAATCTATTTAATTAAGCTTATATTTAATTAATAAATAAAAATTAAAACTACATGGACCTGATTAAAAATTTAGTGAAATTATAAGGACTTAATTAAAAGAAAAATAAATACAAGGACCTAATTAAAAAAAGATAAAAGTATAAGGACCTGATAAAAAGAAACAAAACTATAGGGACCTGATTCAAAATTCGTTGAAACTATAAGGACTTACGGATTAATTAACCCTATTTATATTATTAAAACATCTTGGAAGCTGCTACTTATGGCTGTCTTCATCTACGATCTACCCTTCCATTCCAAATTAATTGGTACTTTGAAACTGCAATTCTGGCCCGAAAAAGAGCAATTGCAAGGAAAACGAAATCATCTACAATTACGAAAGGGTAGTATATTGCTGTTCAGGCCGAAGAAAGTTGTAGTTCTCTGAACCAAACAAATATATGTGCATGTAAACACACACAAAAAAAAAGGAAGGAAAAATTGGTGAAAAGTTTCTATTTCAAAATTTTATTTAGAAGAATGATATCTGGAAAAAAGAATTTTAAACCAATATTTCCAAAAGTATATACGTTATATTTTTTTTTATAAAAGACAATTTTATTAAAACTTGGGTAAAATGATACATAAAAAAAAAAAAAACCTTCAACAATTAACGGAAAGAAACTGTGAAGCTCAGTGGTAAAATGTAGCATAAAAAACAGTAAAAACAGAGAGGCAGCAACATTTCATTTTTTATTTATAAATAAATGAAATTGCAATATTTTAATTAAAAGATTGTTATAACATTAAATATCTAAAATAAAAATATTATTTACATATAAAATGTAACTGTATAATAAACTATTGAAAAAGATACTTTTCTTCGTCTGATCAGATTCTTTAAATCATCAGTGCATGACAAAACACAAAAAGTCAGGCAAAAATCTGTAGAAGCTTCGCCGAAATTCCCAGTTAGTAGTGTTTATTAGTAGTGTAGCAGTACTATCCCCCAGCCACACCCCCCACGTGGGCCACCTCCGTTGGTGCTTGCACAATTCCTTCAGATAAAATAATGAAAAATATATGACGAACGATTCGCGCGAGAGAGGCAAAGTATAAGAACAAATGACATTCCATGTTTGAAGAAATCCCAATTCTAAAGATGAGGTTTTGTGCTTCTTTAATCCCAAACCCAAATGAAAGGGAAAAGCTTTTAGCAGAAATATGACTCCAACAAGCAATACCCATGAATCCTTTCTTGTCAACTCTCTCAAGAAATTAACCACAACACGTTCACTGGGATGTTATAATCAAACCTGTCTCCCTTTTTTCTTTCATGCGTTTTATCAAACACGTGTGTTGCCTCCCACAGTCCTTGCAATCTCAAGATATTGATATTTTGAAACAGAGAAGAAGTGGATTGAAGTGATGAAGATTGGGAAGGTAGAATTGCTGGTGTTTACTGTGCTGCTGTTGAACTTGTCAGCTTCTTCTGCTTGGTTTGGGAATAAAAATAAATACAGAAGTGCAAGGAATTCCGCTTTCCCCGATGAAGCGACGTCGTCGTCGTGGTCGTCGTCTTCATCATCGGCCCTAAATCGTGGTGGGTCCTCCATTGTTTTTCAAGTTCATGGCAACGTTTATCCTGTTGGGTAAGTACTTCTCCTCTTTGTTTCTGCCTTCATCATCTTCTGGGCTATAAAACTCTGATTGTTCAAAAATATAATATTGTGGCGTACACATATGATGCTTATAATTTGATACTTCGAATTACATGTAAAAAAAAAAAAAAAATCTTTTCATGCTTGTTATTATCTTGTTGTATTCTGTCTCATCATGATCAGGGGTTGTTAACTGCCAGGTTGCTTCTTGCTTGTGCCATTTGCTAAATAATGCTTTGGCCCCTCGGCCATTTAAAAAAAAAAAAAAAAAGCCTAGAATCTCAATGAGACGGCAAAAGCCTACCGCTTTTTGTTTTCCTTCTATATCCTCTTAGTTTTAAATCCTTGTGAATTATGTTGATGTGGTGGATGGTAACCAAATAGAAGCAGTGACGTAAATGTAAGTACTAAACAGGGCATGCATCTATTCTTTTTTCTTGTAGTCTGGGTTTCTTCCCTCCCTCGTGCAAGTTGCGAATCATTGAATCAAGAAATTATCGATCATTATCTCACCGTTATTCTCATCATTTGCAGGTTTTACAACGTTACTCTCAACATCGGCCAGCCACCGAGACCCTATTTTCTTGATCTTGACACGGGTAGTGACCTCACATGGCTTCAATGTGATGCACCTTGCACCCATTGCTCTGAGGTATTTATCAATAACGATATCAAGAAGATTCTTATTAGTTGTTTTCTTTAATGTCAGCGAATGAGACTGAACAAGTCATCTTTGTTGGTTGTTTTTCAGACACCCCATCCGCTTTACTCGCCAAGCAATGACTTAGTGCCTTGTGATGATCCCCTCTGCGTATCCTTACATCAGAGCAGCCGCTACAACTGTGATTATCCAGATCAATGTCACTATGAAATTGTGTATGCAGATCAATATTCAACCCTTGGAGTTCTTCTCAAGGATGTCTATCATCTCAACTTTACAAATGGAAACCAACTTAAAGTTCGAATGGGACTTGGGTTAGTTACTCTGCAAGCTTACTATACCTCAATCTCTTTCATTTCCAAGTTGTCTTCTGTTAGCAATATCTTGAGATAGACTTCTCCGTAGAAAGTTTCAGTTTTTAATTCTCGGGACTAGCTTACGTGTTTATTGCAATCTAAGTATCAATCAGGACAATAATTATTCACAGAAGAGAAAATAATTCAAGCTAAAATACATGATCGTTAAAAGTATAAACCTTTTGGGGTATCCACTGTAAGAGCTGGTACGTACACATTTAATGTTGCTTTGTCTACCGCATGGATTACTCTTCGTTGTACAATAAAGCCTTTGTAAGTCCTTGCTGTCGTTACCACTTTATCATGTTTCTCTGTATGGAATACAACAGGAAGATATTCAGGATTGATTTGATCCTTGCTGTAATGAAAATCCAGCAGTGTAGTAACTAATTCATGCATGTGATCTCTAATTCACCCCTTTGCTGGCTTTTCTTTTTCAGATGCGGATATGATCAAGTCTTTCCTGCTTATTCTTACCACGCCGTTGATGGAGTACTTGGCCTTGGCAGAGGAAGAGCCAGTTTGATATCTCAGCTTAGCAGTCAGGGTTTGCTACGGAATGTAGTTGGACACTGTTTAAGCTCATACGGAGGAGGATATATGTTCTTCGGAGATGTTTCTGAATCTTCTCGAGTGACTTGGACTCCTATGTCTTCCGGAGATTCGTAAGTAGGCAAGCCACATTTTACATCTTCCTCATGTACTTTCATCATACTTGATCCTTTATTCTCATTCCTGTACGTGTTTGTAATTTGTGTCAGTAAACATTACTCTGCTGGGGGAGCTGAACTCCTTTTTGGAGGGAAGGCGACTGGGGTTGGAAATCTCCTCGCGATATTTGACACTGGAAGCTCTTACACTTACTTCAACTTCCATGCTTACCAAGCCCTAATCTCTTGGGTTAGTTTTATGCATTTCTCTCTACACTCCCCAGTTAATTAGGCTTAAGCTTGAGGCTACTTATGCAGAGTTCATCATGAAGAATCAAATATGTTGGGCTACTTAAAGATGACTGTTTCTTCAATTTCAGTTAAAGAAGGAATTACATGGAAAACACTTGTATGAAGCGCCTGATGACCAGACTGTGCCTATCTGTTGGCATGGTAGAAGACCTTTCAGAAGCATAAATGAAGTCAGGAAATATTTCAAGCCTCTGGCTCTAAGTTTCACCACTGGTAGAAGGTCCAGAGCCGTATTTGAAATCCCTCCTGAAGCTTACTTGATAATATCAGTGAGTTCAGACTTAACCACTATCTTTCTAAGACATTCTTGCTATATATGACGTGGGTTATTCTTTAATGCTGGCAATTTATTCTTCCAGAACCTGGGAAATGTTTGCTTGGGCATTCTAAACGGCTCTGAAGTTGGCATGGGGGATGTGAACCTAATTGGAGGTATGTTCTTGTCTATATTTTCTTCTTAGCAGCTTTTTGTTATAACTCCGTTATAAAGTGATCTCCTTGTTTATGCAGACATATCCATGCTGGACAAATTGATGGTATACGACAATGAGAAGCAGTTGATTGGTTGGTCAACAGCAAATTGTGACCGTGCTCCAAAATCCAGACATTTCAGCGTATGATCGTAATAGCTACGTTGTCCCTTCGTAGTTACCTCTGGGATCATAACGAGAGCAGAATTCTGCTGTCTATACCAGTATAACTGTATCTTCTGCAATATTTATATACATATATGGTTATGGAGATAGCTCTCTGTACATTTGTATTGTAAAATAAATATTGAAAAGCTCTCTGGCTATCCTGATCATGATATGATGATTATGGCATATTCCCTTGTGACTGCAGTGTAATTAATGCTCATGTTACACTAGTTTGACTCGCTGTGAGGATTTGTGGTAAGTAGGTGCTGTTTTTCAAAATGTTTTGAGCATTTTACATGATGAAATCTCCTCCTCTTGATATTCCTTCATCTTAATTTTGCCAATAATGTGATTTGGTTCAAAGAAGAATCTTTCGTTTTCAGAAATGTCAAAAGTGGACAGCTCAACAATTTGTCTTAATCTTCCCAATTTGGGATCTTTTCATCATCAGGCACTGTAGATTTAACCTGCCCATCGATGATGCTCAAAAGGTGAAAGTCACAGTGCTTAGGAAAGTAGAAATTTACAGCCAAGTGTTTTCCATTCCATTGACGAATAAAGTTATATACTACAATTACAATTACAGACTTGTTAAAAAAAAAATTCTGCCACAGTTCCCGTGGAACAAGAATTTCCTACTGACTCCTTCCATATTAACAATATAGTGCTTTTCTTCGATAAACAAAGAAATAAACCCAACTGGGTCTTTAGCATCATTTAACTGTGTAAAATACTAATGAAAACTCATCAAATCATATAAGTCCGTTCTGATGAGCTTTTACACAATATTTACACAATCAGCATATTTATATCGTTCGAATCTAATTCTCTTTCCTCGAATGAATTGAATCAAGTGGGGCCCATCCTTCTCGTGCTGTTCAGAATGGCTTCTGCAGAAACATGAACATGTCCTGCAATGGCGAGAGCTGGTTCAATTGGTACTGTACGGAAGAGGCGAAGGGATCTTCTCCCGAGAGGTTATTCATATTATTAATCACGTAATTCAATTCAAAATCAATCCCATCATCTTCTCCGAGCCCTAGCTCGTTCCACTTGGCCTCGCTCTGTACCTCCTTCTCGCACGTGACGTCCGGCGAAACCACGTGCTCCGAGCAGCTCGAGTCCGTGTGCAGCCTCGGCACCGAGTCTGACGTGTCCATATAGAATTGGTCACCTATGAACGCCGTTGTTGCCGCCGGTGCCTGCACCTTACTGTGGTCGTACGGTTTGATTTCCGGTTTGGTCTCATGGTCATGGAATTCCGATAAATTGCCCGCTTTCTGATCCATCACATTGTATTTCTCAATCGTGCCTTTCTTGTTGTAAATTCGGCATAACACCCAATCATCAAGCTGTCGTAACATCAAAAAACCAAATAATCTCAGTTCATATATTTCCAAAACTATATTGGAGCACTCAGTTTAATTTGATATGAGAAAACATCATTATTTTCCAAAAGAGAAAAGGAGTTGGCAATTAGGTAGGTACCCTTAGGTTCTTTTTCTTGCCGGCGGATCTGTCGACGTTAGCGAGGCGATATTCATGCATGATCCAATTCGTTTTGATGCCACTGGGGGCCTTACCCGCGTAGAATACGAGTGCCTTTTTAATTCCCAGTGGCTTCGGCTTACCAATCGGCTTGTCGGCTCCAGTTGCTTTCCAATACCCACTCCCAGCCGCCCGGTTCGGCCTCGAACCGTTCGGGTATTTTCGGTCCCTCGGTGAAAAGAAGTACCATTCCTTCTCGCCGTAAAGTGCCATTTCTGTTCATACAATCAACAGATTTCCCATTTTAATAATTTAAGATCAATAAATTAAACATCATAATATAAATACTTCGAAATCTATTTCTCCATCGTAAAGTTGCTCTGGTTCGCTAATTCCGAATCACAAAGATCCGGAGCGAAATCTGAAGCCATCTGAGAAAAAATATCCCTAACTAGAAACTGCTCTGTTTTGTGAAGCTTTAGTGAGAAAGGTGAAATGAAGAGAAAAAGCGGGAGGTGAGAGAGAAGGAGTTAAGTACCAGGAAGTTGCCATGGATCAAACTTGTAGAGATCGATCTCTTTGATAATGGGAACAGCAATGGACTGAGCGGCACATTTCCTACAGAGATAGTGATTCACCAGCTCCTCGTCCGTTGGGTGGAATCTGAACCCAGGCGGTAACTCCAATTCACCATTCATTCTTCTTCTTCTTCTTCACTGTAAGCTAGCTAAGCCTCAGTTCTTCTTCTCTTGTTCCTCTGCTTCCCCTCCTTCTCGCTAAAATTCCACTGCGTCTTGAAACACAAAACTCACGGGCGAGTTGGTGTTTTATAGCGGAAATTCCACAAAAAACAACATAAATAAAATAAATAAAAAATAAAAGATAAAGGGCTTAATTCGGCACGTGGTAGAGGGGAGGTGTATCTAGAACTAGAGGTAATTGGGGGGGTGGGGGGCGCGTGCGAGCTGTGTGCTTAAATGAAGGTTGACCGCAGCCACACGTGGCAGGTGATGAGTGGGTGGGGAACACGTGTGGGTGGCCCACACAGGTCATCGCTTACGTCATTCGCCCTATGTTTTTTCCACCATGTCGGCGGCTCTGTGGGGATTGCAACCTCACGATGTTCTTACAGACACCCAATCGTCTTGTGCCGCGTGGAAAACGGTGGAATTGGTCCCACATTTGGTCAACAGAGAGCACAGAGTCTGCGATACTTTGAGCTTCACATGATCGTAATTACATTTTTAATCAATTACTACTTTCAATTTTTAATATAAACATTAGTTACTAAGTTGAGTAGATTAAAAAAATTAATTAAATTAATTATTTGTAATGAATATATATATTTTTCTTACTTAAAAGTGTGTATGGACCAGATTGGACCGGGTTTGTTATCAACCTGAATTTTGGTCCAGTAAAGAACTCGGGCTGAAAAAGACAACCTGAGTCTAGTCCAGTCCAATACTAATCGAAGGTCGAGTTGGACTGGACTTGGTGCTCTGGATTGTCTAGACCAGTCCAGGACCTAAATTTAACTTTTTTAAAAAAAAAAATTCTTCAGCAGGAGGCAAGATTGTAACTTGCTGTATAAAATTTTGCACATATTTTAATCCAAAGTTCATCAAATTTGATCACTCCCTTTTAATTTCCCAATAATGTCATGTTTTATTAATTAATCCTCATTAATATAGATCTTATATTATAGAAAATATATACGCATGCTCATTACTTAGGAAGTTAATAGATAAATCTTGATTATTTGAATAGACAAAAAAACTTATATAGGAAAGTTAAATCAAATTAAAATTATATAAATAATAATTAAAAAAACCAAGCTAGACTGGACTTGACCAACTGGTTTGAGGGGCCAGTCCCTAATCCAGTCCAGCTCGATGATACCAGTCCGATCCTGTCTGGTCCAGTCTTGCTTCAGGTCAATTTTTTCTGGACTAGATTGAACCAGGTTTGCTCGGGTTGGACAAGACCATGCCGGACCACCGGGTTTTTGCACAGCCCTATTCTTACTATTCAAGTGTATTAGTTAGAACTACCATTATTACAAGGATCATCTTTGAAAAAAAATGAATGAATGAATATAAAAAATAAAATGGATTGGGTTTTTATATTTAAAACTAAAATAAAAGTTAAATGAGTTATTATATTAAGGACTGGATATAGTATTTCTTTTATTGATATTTTGCAGCAGACTTAAATAGTGGAATTTTTTTAAAATTTTGTTAAAGAATGCGCTTCCCTATGGGTTATGTTTGTCTTTCTCTCATTAACTACTTAATATTTTAGTTAAAATACTAAAATATCTTTGTGGACCCTAATATCTTATTCTAAATGCATAACTATAAAATAATAATTATTACTGCAGACAAATAAAATGTTCATAAAACATTTGAGCGATTAATAGGAAAAACCTTTTGTCTTACTGTTGATCTGATCAAGACGACTCCCTCAATAATTCTAAGTAAAATATATTAAAATTTTACATTTAGAATTAAAATAAATACTGTGAAAGAATGCTTGGGTAGTGTGTATAAGGAGTGCCATATGACTAATTAAGCACGATGATATAATCAATATTGATGACCCGTTCTAATTTTCTAAAATTCGCATGCTGTGTGTGTGTGTGTGTGTGTGTGTGTGGGTGTGACTGCGTAGATAGATTTAATTTTGTTCATTGAATTCATGAGTTTCTTTCAGTCCAAAAAAAAAAAAAAAAGAATTCATGAGTTTCTTGCCTTGCAAGGAGGCTGACCAGAGAAGAAGAATAATCAACAATACCCGAGGACGTCAAATTATTTATTAGCCTTCATATATATATATATATATATATATATATATAGAGATATAGATATATGTACACAGTCACATCACATGCGTTCACGTTCAGTTCATGACTTTTTTGTTCGGTTATGGATTATTTTGCCAAGAATCAAAGTATACGTGCTTAGTATAAGACCTGACCAAGTGAAAGGACTGAAAAAATTAAATAAATTATTTCATTATAATATATTTTATGTGATTTTTTAAATATTTATATATATTATTAAATTATATATCAATTTATAAGTTAAAAAATTAATTTTAAAATATAAATATATTAAACTAATTTATTTATCTTATTTAATATTTTTAAAATAATTTATGGGGTCTTACGTTAAGAAACGAGATAGTATACTGCATAAAAAAAAACATGTCGTGAGTATTTTGCAAGTAGTGCGCGCGCCCACATATATGTGTGTTTATATACACACACATATATACTCTTATGATCCTTAATATAAGACCTATTTAACTAATTTGATTAGATTAAAAAAGTTAGTTGATTATAAAAAATATGACATGCTTTTTCTAAAACACCATAATCATCTTTCATATCCTCTCTCCCTCTTTTACTTGATTATAGTTGAGGGAGTATTTATAAGGATAATTTAGAAAAATTTGATAAATTTGATAAATATGTATTATATTTAGAACCAAAATCAACTCAACAATTATGTCTTATATTAAGAACTGGATGAGTAATATGTATGGCGTCCAAATGGGAAAAGAAAATGTCTATTAATTAACATAAATTATATAAATACTTTACCAAAAAAATAAATTATATAAATAAAGCTGGCTTTAAATATTGATTATTTGTTATTGATTATGTGATCAATATAATTAATTGATATTGCATTGGATAAATAATATAAGACTTGTTCCAATAAAACCTCTTCATGATTTATAATAAATATTTTACATGGCGAGTTATAAAAAATGTCAACCGTCTTATAAAAAGAAGATATAATTTATATATTTTAAAAAATACCCTTCACGCAATCAACCGCATTTAATTTCACTGAATTATCATCTTTTGACTTCTTGGTCTGGATAAAACAGGCTTTCAATCTCTTGCGTGGAAGGAATATTACTTAATAGAGGATAATGATTCTAATTAAAAAAAATTTTTGGAATGCTCTAAATTATTTTTCTTTTCCAAAACATGAAGGTTATTAGTTAATTTAAATCATTTGGTTGCGTCGAAACTTTTTTGGCCAAAATTTGTTGTGTTAATTTATTACTATCTCTTGTCCTTAATATAATATTTCATTTAATTTTTATTTTGATCCTAAATACAAAACATCAATTTACTTTATCCCTCATATTTATCTATTTTTTCAAAATAGTCTTTCTAATCAATAAATTTGATTAGTAAGGATATTTTTAAAAAAATAATACATATTTATTATAAATTGGAGGTAAGAATGGTATCAGTATTATTCCAATAAAAAAAATCCTACATATCTCGTCCGCCTAACCTAACCACGTGAGTAAAAGAGACCATACCTTTTATGTGTATAGTCAAAAACATGTGATCGTCTCCTCATCGACTTAATAAAAGTCGGGGCATGGATCATTGGAAAAATCAAAAAGTTGCTTGTGATTTGAGTAATTGTTTATTGCTTTTAGTGGATCCATTCTCTTTCAATATTTTATTTTGAAATGGGTGAATATGACTGGTTCTTCTGACCCAACTCGATGGGAAATTTGATATGTGAACTAAAATAAAGTTTTAAAGAAAACAAAGCAAAAAATGAATTTTTGCATATAAAATATTATGTACACTGTCATTATCAAATATAAGTTACCTTTTTTTTTTTATCAACAAAAATTAGTCCAGTTGGTAAGGAGCTAGCTTATAATCTAAAAGTTGGTGAGGCATGTTCGGACTCTTATGAACCTCTAAAAATCCAATTTACCTAAAATTTTTCTGTATAAAATAAAGCTACTTTTTTATACAAAAATATAAGTCACTTGTAACTACCAGGAGGGTCTAATTAAAAAAAAAAAAACTAGTCATTCACACCATAACAAACTAAAATTTGAATTTTCACTAAAAAAAAATGTTCATATTCAAGGCTTAATAGTTCTATAAAACCATCAAATGCTTTGTGAAGAAATCCAGAGCACCCCTTAAAAGGAGTCTCATAACAAGGTTTACCCTAGTGTCCTATTTGGTACGGGTATTAAAATAAAAGATAGGAATTAGGATTGCCATTGAAAAAATTATTAAAATAGTATTTATTAGAATGAGTAATTGCTTGTTACATAGAATTAGACAAACCCATAGAGGTGAGATTAGAGAATACTACTTTCTCCCATGGTATTTCCCAATCCCACATATATGGGTTTTGCTAATACCATATAACAAGCAATCTCTTATGTTAAATATTCTTTTAATAAGTTTTTTCAATCCCAATCCCAATCCCTATCTTTAATTTTTAATGCTTCCTACCAAACACAATTTTAAAAGTGTTGAAATAGTAGCGATGGCCCTAGTTAAATAGTAGTCCAAATGGACATTTACCACCTCAGATCTATACTGCATATGATTTCACATAGACATGATGACCATGCTTTCAAGTTAAAGGTCATTTTTTATTCCGAAAAATATTCATAAAAGAACACATGGTAGCATTTTGTTTTGGAAAAATTTTAAAAAAATAACTATTGAATCTCAAAATTTCAAATAAGGAATTATTATAAAAATGAGTTATTATTTGCTTTTTGAGTGTACTTATTTTCTTTACGAATGTAGTAACTAATACTGATTTGGAATTTTAAAATTCAATAGTCGTATTTTTAGAATTTTTCCTTTTGTTTTTCCTCAATATCTCCGTAAAAATTATCACCCAAATTTAAATCCACGATCTTCGAGCCTATTAACAGCGTGCTGGTCATCCTTTTTAACTTTGCAATTTCTTGCAAGACACACAAAGGGGTCTCATG